AAAGTTTCTCAGTATTTTATTTCTATAAAATTGAATAAAAATCTCTTTGGTTGCATCTGGCTAGTTTTAATTTTTTTTTGTAGGGTAAGGTGACAAACGAGCACACAGTCCACCTGATAGTAAGTTGTTGCTGTGACCGATAGACATCTACATCTATCCTCATTCAAGAATCAAAATTCAGATGCGTTAACAACCGTGAGGTCTAAGATAGAATGCCTCTTTTCCAGTAAAAGGGGTCTCCGGTTCTCTACACTCACCATACGAAACACAGCAGTGTCAAGCTGCTATTTTACGCTGGTATTCTGTGAGAGCGTGGTACTTCCCCGGTCGAGCTGACCCATTCGTGCTACAACTATTGTACTAATATAGCTGCAGCATGGCTCTACCACGTAAATGAATACATATAGGGCATTAAGAAAAAGAAAAGTAAAAAACACTTTCCTGCCATTATTCAATTGTATTTCTGTGCGCCAAAATGCGTGAATCTAAAGAAAAAGTTCGATACATTCTGAAGTTTTATTAAAAAAAGAGAAAAATGTGATTCAAACCTAGTAGTAGATCTAGCAATGTCAGTAAGAGTAGCACAAAGTTGGTTCAAGCGTTTCCAGTCCGGAAATTTTGATGTCAAAGATGTAACTCGCTCTGGTCGCCCTAATACGGATAAAGTCGATGCCATTTTTGAAAAAGTTGAGCAAGATTGGCATATCAGTAGTTACGACATAGCCGAGGAATTGAGGAATGATCTCAAAATTAATTTGACCCATTTGAAAAAATCTGACTATACAAAAAACCTCGATATTTGGGTAGACAAGAGCTCATTGAAAGAAACCTAATGAATCGTGTACTCATTTGCAATTCTCTATTGAAACGTAATGAAACCGAATCATTTTTGAAAAGATTGATCACTGGTGATGAAAAGTGGATTACCTATGACAAGAACATGCTAAAAAGATCATGGTCAAAGGGTTGTAAAGCTTCACAGACTGTAGTGAAACCCGGATTAGCACGCAATAAGTGATGCTGTGTGTATGGTGGGATTGGAAGAACATCGTTTATTATGAGCTTTTACCGCCGGGCAAACCTATCGATTTGGATCTCTTCCGCCAATAACTAATGAGACTCAAGCAAGAAATTGAGAAGAAACGGGGTTAAAATTTAGAATCGTTTGGCAGGAAGGGAGGCAGGGGATGGGAGGAGTGGGGACGGGAGAGTGTCCTCTAACCGCCGACACCACTCCCGTCAAAAGGTAATATAACCGTTCTTAAGAAAAATCAAAAAAAATCCCATAGACCTAACCTCAAAATGATAATATTTATTTATCGTCTCCGGCGGGATGGGAGAGGGGGAGGGGGAAGCGGGAAGCGGGAATGACATCACATCTCGAAGGATGGCAGCTCCTTCTCGGGGGAGGACCTCTCCTCCCCATTCTCCATCTCAGGCAAGGCGCACCAGAAACACAAGGCACGCCCCCTTCCACGGCCTCCAACTCCACCTGCGTATCGGACCCCCCCAAATCCGATACGCAGAGGCCATGGCGCCAGGAAAATCGAGCACTTAGTAGCACCCGCTTTCCCGACCCCAGCGGCGAATCTGGTCTCTGGCCCCGCCGCCAACCACGTTTCGGCCGCGGAGGGTAGGGAGAGCAGCGCCTCGCAATACCGACACCCCTCTTCCCGCGCACCCCACCACCACCGTATCAACGGTGCGGCCCCGTCTGAGTCGCGGAGGATAGGGCGAGTGGCGCATCGCCATACCAAAACTCCTCTTCCTCCGCGACTCCACCTCGGCTGCAGCGGTAGGGGGAGAGGACACCCCTCCCACCGCAGCCGACCGACACACATCCGAAGTGGGCTCGCCAAGCCCACTCGGAGTGGCCACCTCGGGCTGGCCCTACACCACGGACCAGCCAAGGGGTTCCTCTTTGTTCCCCTCGGGTGACCAAGCCACGGCTACTAAGCCCCCCCGCCACGACAAGGCGGGAACCCGTTCGGGGGGGAACCTATTCCAACCTATCTCAACCTCTTCTAACCTATTTCAACTGAAAGTATTTCTGGGTGCTCAAGTATTTCTGGGCACGATAAAAGCTACAATATTATACTGAAGAACACACATTCACGCAAGAAGAGCAACGAACAGCGAAATGCATAAAAATTATTATGTCATGCGATTTGACACTTGACAGAGAGTATAGACCACAGAAGAATAAAATACCATAGAAGTATAATAATGTGACACTGGTCTTTGACATGGTTTTACGTCCTTGTCGCACTTACACAAAATTCTGTATGCTATCCCACTTTCACAGTTATATTGCATATTATGTTTTTCCATGTATTACACATTTTAGGTTATAATAGTTTCTTTTTTATTTTCTTGAAAACGGTGCATTACCTTTTAATGCGCAAACCTCTACCAAATAAAACACCTTACCCCCCAAATTCCTGCCAAACGATTCTAAATCCCACCCAAAAACGGCCGGAATTGATCAACAGAAAAGGAGTGTCTATCATCTTTCACACATATTTGACCATTTAGCAAAAATTAAGAAAGCTTGGTGGGGAAGTGTTAATGCATCTACCATATAGTCCTGACCTTGCGCCCTCAGATTTTTACCTGTTTCGGTCTCTTCAGAATTATTTTTGGTAGTGTTAAGTTAACATCAAGAGAGGACTGTCAAAACTACTTGTCGCATTTTTTTTTGTTTCTACAGCAACGGGATTATGTCAACTACCTACAAGATGCCAACAAGTTATCTAACAAAATGGCACAAATATATGTTATAATTAAATGTAATTAAACTTTTTTTCAAATGTCTTGAATTTGTATATTACATAAAATATGAAGAAACTTTTTCTCCGACCTATTACATAATTATATATTTACGTGGTAGAGCCGCGCTACAGCTACATATAAGGTACCTATGTAGTATTATTGGAGCACGAATGTGTCGGCTCGACCGGGAAAGGACCACACACTCACAGAAAACATCATAAAATAGTAGATCAACGCTGCTGTGTTTTGTATGGTGAGTGTCGAGAACTGAAGACCCATTTTACTGGAAACGAGGTATTCCATCTTAGTCCTCACGAATGAAAACGCATCTATATTTTGATTCGTAATCGAGGATAGATGTAGATGTCTATGGGCCACAGCAATCAGAAACAGAAACAGAAACTTTTTTTATTCAATATAGATTATAAATAATACTTATTGAAAGTCACTCTTTTGTTTGATTACCACTGGTTCGGAAAAAACCTCTGTCCTGGGAAGAACCAGCAAGAAACCCAGCGGGACTTTTTTTTTAAATAACAGCTTACAATCATTAATCACTTACTATCACGTGGATTGTGTGTACGTTTGTCACTTTTATGCTATGAAAAAATTTGTAGTCCTTCGGTTATATCGCAAAGAAGTTTCATCTGATCGGATATGGAAACACGAAGACGAGTTATGTTTCGAGGATGCTTGCGGTTTCATGATACATCCTGCGCACCAACTACTTCCTTATCATTACAGAACATTTTATTAACTGTTTAAAAAAGTAATTGAATATTTATTTTTTATTACCGTGTAGTGGCGGTGTAAGAATATACACTACCTCATGGTGCGATATCATGGATGTCGTAAGAGACTACAGAGGGAAACAAATCAGATGGTTTTTTTTGCGCCCAAAAGCAAAGTAGGTGGTGAATGCTCTTAGCATACCACGCAGCCGGCTGCGTGCTTATGTGGGACTCATTATGATAACCTAAGTGCCTACCCACTAAACACCACCTGGGACTGGCTTTGGCCTGGAGAGCTTTTCTGCCGTATCGGAAGCGACCCCCCTTGGGGAAAGGGGGCGCAGGCGGCGAATAGCCGCTGAGAAGTGGTAGGTAGGTAAATTAGGCAAATTATAAGATGGCAAAAAATTCGGCCTGACCCGCCAGAAGGCAGTCCAGGTCAGCCAAAAGCTTGTTGGGGGGGGGGGGGTCAGGAGATGGGCAGCGGCGTCTTCTTTATAACAACTTAATAACAACATAGAAGAGGTCACCATACTCTTTACTCACTGATACGAGGCTGCTTTCTTCACCATTGGTTGTCGGTTCCTCAGTGCAACTGCCCGAGCGGGGACTCGTGCGCGTACCCGAATCATAACCGAGCACTTCTGATTTAAAAATAAAAAAAAACAACGATTTCACTCTGAACTCGAAACTAAAACAGGAGATGGGCAGCAGCATCTTCCTGACAACAACTCAAAATAATAAAAACTGCGGTTGCCAACCTGCCTGCCAAGCGTGGCATTTATGATAAAATCTATGAGAGAGGCCTGTGTTCAGTAGTAGACTTTAATTTTTATAGGCTGTAATGGATGGATGGATGCAACAACGATTTACGTTTGCGCGGATTTAAAAACAATTTTAAGGTTCCGTAGTATAATAGTTTAAATTATTAAGATTTAATAAGAGTTCTATTTTTATTTTAAAATTAGAATATATTTTATTTTTATGATGTATTAATTAATTGTAATGATTTGTAATAGTGCATTCAGACGCACCGTTACATTAGCTATATGACTTTTTACATCTTTTTGAAATGAAAACTTCTTTAGAATCGTTGTGATTTGAACCTCGATGAACGAAAAGCGACACTAAAAGAGACAAAATATACATGAATTTAGGTTTAAAGAGAATGAGATAGATGATACATATATTTGTCTCATTGACTCGTAGTTTAGTTTTTGAAGGTTTCTCTCTAAACTGCCGCATGTGAACTGCACTTTTTTTCATTTCTACTATTATTTTCAATATAAATCAATTACTGCATGTATGAAGTAGCATTACTTGAGCAGGGCTGGACTGATTTTGATTAAAAAAATTGTGTGATTAAATGAGTTCGTGGATGGTTTAGATTCACAATTGGACCCGGTAATTGTCGAGATCTAGGAATCACCCGTGCTAAGTCGGGACGGATCGCTAGTATTACTTAAAAAATGTTTTGTCCAACAGTGCGAGGAAACGATGCCAGCGGGTGACATGTGCGTTTCGGCGGCAAGGGCAGGGCCGGCGGCACGCTGGCACCCCGCCTGCTTCGTGTGCTCCACCTGCCAAGAACTGCTGGTAGACCTCGTGTACTTCTGGAAGGACGGCCGGCTTTACTGTGGCAGGCATCACGCAGAGACCCTCAAACCCCGCTGTTCTGCTTGTGATGAGGTGAGAAGGCTACGCTACTACTGATGTAGATTTAAGAATATTTGTTGTTTTTTTCAGAAGTCCTTCATACTATTACTGTTGTGGCCAGTTTGTGGGTAGGGTCATGTCTACACAACATGGCCTTCAACTATCACAACTATCACTCGTTTTGTTTGTCGAGTAGTTTAAGTTCTTTAATATGCTAGCATAAGCACATGCCCTGCGATAAATTCGACATTATGAAGAAACCAGTGTGTCCAAGAAATTTACACACTGGTTTCTTCATATCATCATTCTTCATAGTAATGAGCCACACAACGGCTATGCTACGAGTAGCTAGCTATACAAAGCTGTAGCACGAATGGATCGGCTCGACGGGAGTAGGCTACGCTCTCACATAATACCAGCGTGATACAGGAGAATAGTTAGGGAACCGGAGACCTTTTTTACTGGTAAGGAAGCATAGTAAAGATAGTAGATAAAGTTTCTTGCCGGTTCTTCTCTGAGGTCTTATTTTTGCGAACCGGTGTAGATTTTGGCAAATCAAATCTAATCAAATATCGTTATTCACGAAGACTTTAAACAAAGCAATTATGAACGTCAACATATCATAATAATAATTACTTAGTATTCACATTATACTCATACAGAGACAATACCTAGGACGAAATACGTCTTTGGTTAATTTGACTATGAGACTGTTTAAATTTTATACTGAAAAACATTAAGATCAAGCATCTATCTATTGACTATGTAATTTGCTTTCTTTATGAGTGACTAGCTATTCCCCGCGACTTCACCTATCATCTGAATCTCTGCCAGTGAAAGTCCCAGCCAAATCGGTTCACAGGTTTTTACGTGATGCGTGTTCACGCCAAAATAGCTCGCAGATATTTTTTCAGACTTACTTAACATTTATCGTTATATTTTGGCTAATTTACACAATATTTTTATAAATTATAGCTTATGTGTTATTTTGATGTATAAGCTAAATTACTATAAAGTTTCATTCAAAACCAATTAAGTAGTTTTTGCGTGAAAGAATAACAAACATCCATACATGCTCACAAACATTCACATTTATAATATTAGTAGGATTCTTTTATATATTTCTTAAAAATGTAAATGACGTTCATTGGAGCTTTAAACAAGCTTGATTGATTAAAAATGTTTGATTTTGTCTTTGACTTTCGCATTTCCCACAGTAAGAGTACTTGGAACGAAATTATGTGATTAATTATCTTATACACATATGTTTAAACATTGTAAAACATTGTAAAGACTTAAACCGCAAATTGCGGTAGATTAAAATAATGATTATTATTTAGGGATACTTCATGTCACAATAAAGGAGCTGTGTAATCTCTCTATCGGGCCCCTCTTTAATAAAGTGGAGGGTTCCGCGATACCATCGGTTCCGGCGCTTGCGGCCGGAACCGATGGTACAGTGTTGCCAATTACAGCGACCGCCACGTGGAACATGTCTAGAAAGTAGTAACATTTTGCAAAATTTTATATAAAATAATGTCAACGATTCATACATACATTTTTCAGCCATGCTACAGCTATATTACAATTTTATCACGAATGGATCAGCTCGACCGGATAGGCATTCCATCTTAGTCCTCAGGGGTGACAACGCGTCTGCATATTGATTCTTAATTGAGGATAAATGTAGCTAGATGTCTTTAGGCCATTGTATCCACTTGCCAACAGGTGAACGTTGTGTCACCTTTATTTTATAAATAAAATACGATATAACTTTATCCGACAACCGGCGTAATGCAGCCAATTTTGAATAAAGTTCAGATATCTATAAAAACACCTTAGAACTTTTCTTTAGTTAGTTGTATAGCATAAATATACTCTCAACATCACCGAACCTTGCACATAGATTGCCACAAAACACGGTCTTCCGCTAGGTGCATCTTTAGCCATGCAGGTCTCAATATTATGATATTTTTTTATATAAAATTAGGGTGACAAACGAGCACACAGTCCACCTGATGGTAAGTGGTTGCTGTGGCCCATAGACATCTGCATCTATCTTCGTTTGCGAATTAAAATGCAGATGCGTTGTCAGCCGTGAGGACTAAGATAGAATGCTCTTTTCCAGTAAAAAGGGTCTCCGGTTCTTTACATTCACCAGACGAAACACAGCAGCATTAAGCTGTTATTTTACGCTGGTATTCTGTGAGAACGTGGTCCTTCCCCGGTCGAGCCGACCCAATCGTGCTACAACTATACTCTTAATAAAGCTGCAGCATGGCTCTACCACGTTTAAAAATGCTGTATAACTAATAATATTTTCTATATTATACACTTCTTACAAGTAACAGGCATTCCATATTTCTATTATACTATTTTAATATAGCTCCAGAAATTATTATTCACAAGTGATATACGAGTAATTTACGGCAAGTAATACCTACATGGATCATCAATTATCTAAGAAAAACTCAAGATATAACTGGATGTGTACAGCCCAGTAGCAAGATGGAATGGCTTTTGACCAGCGCATTTACTGGTAACGAAGTATTCTATTTTAGTCCTCAAGGATCAATCAAGGATAGGTATAGATGTCTGCGGACCACAGCATCCGTTTACATAGATCTGGGTTTTCTTTTGTCTCCCTTTTTGTTTTAAAAGGCATTTTTTAGACTTTTTATACTTTTAAATACACGCTAGGCGAAACCAATTTTGAAACGATAAAACTGAACACATCGTAATGGATTAGAAATACTTACAATGTTGCTTTAGGGAACTTTATATTTACCCTCATACGGTGTCGAATTAAACGTGATTCTTTTATTATAGCGATTCTATGGGTCCTGGTCCACAATTGGACCTGGTAGGTGGCGCTGTTGTCGAGATCTCGAAATCATCCGTGCCAAATCGCTAGTGCACAAATATAGTTTTTTTTTTTTATATAAAGCCTGTTATTATCCTATATTTTTTTAATAGAGTAGCCGTCTGTTCGATCCACCCCTTTCAACCTAAATTGCCTTATCGTTTCCGTCGGGGCTGGCGGGGTGTTTCCGCGACTGACGGCCGAAGGCAAGAGCATTCGCTAAGCCCTCATTTCGGTCCAACTCGATAAGACTGCTTGTTTTTTGACCGACAACTGGCGGAGGCAACGACCTGGATTAATTTCACTACGTATAAATCTGCAAGGTTTTTTTTTGTAAATTATTAGAGTTATAGAAAAATGTGTAATATGTCTTTTATACATTTTGGAGCGTCGACATTAGACACCTACCCAATATTATTTCGTGGATGTCGTAAAAAGCGATAGAGGGAAACTGAAGATAAAGCCACGCTGCAGCTGTACTATGGCCGCAGTACGAGTACAAATAGGTACGTAGAGGTGCCAAAGAGCCATAGTACCTCAGAGACTAAACGCTTGCTGTAAATTTTACAGTATGCAAGCTACCCGGGTTCGATCCCCGCCAGCACCAATTAAATTATTAATTGCAATTTAAAATGCTGATTTACCACATGCTCGGCTGTGAAGAAAAAATCGTTAGGAAACCTGCATATCTCAGGTTTCGAATCAATATTTCGAATATATGTGAATTTCTCCAACACGCATTGAAGCAGCGTGGCGGTCGTTTTCTTGCCTTGAAACTCTTTCAGATACGAGAGGTGGCCTGTGCCCAGCAGAGGGACGTATATAGGCTGCAATTTTAACTTTAACAAATAGGTACAGTCAACCGAAAAAAGGACCACACTCTCACACAATACTTGTAATACCCTTGGTGTTGCAGGTCGACACTTACCATCAGACGAGCCGCATGCCAGTTTGCCCCCCCCCCCTCCCTTCTATAAAATAAGGACGATTGGACATAAATTAAAAGTCGCAAGGAAGGAAGCAAAGCGACATCGTATAGCTGTCGCATCGTGTCGAATATGAAGAAGTCTCTATTGTTTAATATTATGTGCTCGATGTTGACTGGTTATGATTAGCGTATGCTTCGACTACCGTATGATTGCCTGGTTGGTCTAGTTGTAGTAAAGGCGGATGCTGACCATGAATTGGTCTTGGGTTGTAATCCCGGATCAGGCCAAAATTAGTTATTGGGTTTTTCTGTCAAGAAATTCTCATTAGCAGCCCGAAGTCAGGAGTCAGGAAGTTGGCAGTGCCTCGGAAAGCACGTAAAACCGTGAATCATGCGTTTGATCTTTCTCAAACACTCAGTCACTATAATATTCTCCTATGCAGATGGCTAGTCTTTCTTGAAGCTGGCCACCGTGACTGAAATTCGATCTAAAGAACGTTATACTTGGGTCATACTAAATATTTTCATGTGAATAACGCAGCACCGTCTTCGAAATGCAACTTAGTTACGGCTGTTCACTTAACATTCTTGAGATCGGCGCCTAGAACAGCGACCCTCATCGCATGTTGATACGGTGATAAGCTCTTGATCTTTACGTCCTTCTGTCACGCGACGCGACTGCCGCCTGTTTTATTTCATAACTAGCTACCCGTCCCGGCGTCGCCTGTGGGATCTATCGATGCAGCGTTAATTAATGTTACGATATTTTTTTATAGAATAACACTGACAAACAAGCACACAGTCCATCTGATGGTAAGCGGATGCTGTGGCCCATACACATGTACATTTATTTCCAATTAAGAATACCAAAATGTAGAAGCTTTTATATCATATAAATTGTGCAATGACGTTATAAGTTTATGGTAAAAGTTTTAAAGGAAAAGTTTATTTTATTTTTTTAGCGCATTTAAATAAAAGCTTGTTTTAAAAAAAAGTTCTTTTTACTTTTAATTTATTTAAAACGAGTTTTTATAATAAATCACCGACAAGAGAGCCGGTTATTTTCTCAACTAAAGGCTAAGTATGGCCATTCAGCAAGAAAACTCGGACCAGAAAAGAAGACCCTATTTACTGGAAACGAGCATCGATCACTAATAAAAAACCAGGTACACAATCCCATGCAATAGTTCTCTAAAAACTGTCGCCATATGTTTTGACGTAATTCTAGTTGAAATAAATATA